CCCGTGCATGTTCTTTCTTTTCGAGGGCCGCAGGCTGTGCGGTCTCATCGCCACGCGCGTGGACGATATCCTGACTGGAAGAAAAGGTAGGAAGTATGATGCCTCTTCTCAAGTACCTCAGGTCTCAGTTTCCGCTTCCGAAGTGGAAGATCAATGAGGGCAAGTTCTGTGGTTCAAACATCAGTCAATATTCCAGGACCAAGGAAACCACCGCGTCTCAGAAGGAGTGCGCTGAAAGCATGAAACCTGAAGGAGTCAGACCTCGAGCCTCCCCTGGGACCCCGGCGACCGAGAAGGAAATCGCGAACTCCAGGGCCATGCTTGGGAGCGGGAACTGGCTAGCTCGAGAATCCAGGCCTGATCTAGCAGTGCAGGTTTGCATGAGTCAACAATGTATGCCGAGAACGACCGTCGGTGAGGTGCGACACGGCAACGCAGTCGTCCGTCGAGCTAAGCAGTTCTCAAATCTCTCGTGGAAGATCAAGGCCATTCCCATTGACAGATTGAGAGTCATTATGCACGCTGACGCGTCCAATCAGAATGCGTCGAAGTCGGGGACACAGGCTGGATATGTCATTGCAGCCACGGGCGAGAGGATGCTACAAAACGAGCTGAGCCCCTGGAGTCCCTTGGTCTGGAAGAGCTACCGTCTGCGTCGTGTGACGTCGTCTACCCTAGCCGCAGAAACTCAAGCTCAAATGGACGGTCTTGGGCATCTGGAATGGGTATCCTGTCTACTGCTAGAGGGGAGTAACGGTGAATTCTGTTTTCGTCGTCGGGCTGAAGTTCTTCCACTCCTGACCCCCGTCGCCGTCCTGCAAGTCGCTGTATGATCATGTCGTGGGGTGCGGGAGTGCGGGGTCGTGTACTGATAAACGTGTTGCTGTCGATCTAGTGATTACGAAAGAAAGTGGTCGTCGTCTTGGGTTGTGCTGTCACTGGGTACCATCGGCCCTGCAGTTGGCTGACATATTAACTAAGGATGAGGCCGAACCTGCCGGCATGATGAGAGCTACGATGACGAGTGGAGAATATCAATTAGCAGAGGAGCCAGCGGTGATGGCAGCAGCAGCTCGGGAACGGATCCGTCGTCAGCTACTTTCTGCTCGGTCCAGGCAGGAATCCAGCAGAGCGAACACAAGTGGCGATTCCAAGGGCCACTGCCGCTATGGTGAAAATCGAGAGTCAGCTGTCGGAGGACGAGGCAAGGAGCCTCTTCGAGAGCATACAAGTGGAACCAGTCCGTCACTCAAGGGCGACGCGCAAGGTGGTGACCAGCCTTTGCACGCTCGGCGAGTGCGAGGATCGCAACAACAAGACGAAGATCGCGCTGACGCTCACAAGCACGTTGGACGCAGCGTACGCAGCCATTCTGAAGAACAAGGAGCCGCAGATGCTGGACGGCATGCACGACGTGATCTCAAGTCTGAGGATACCGCCGGCACACGGATACGAGGACCCAGGTGCGACCGATTCGGAGACGTGGAGCGTCATCTCTACGAAGCTGCCGGACAACCAGGAGTTCAAGTCTGCCGTCGAGAACCTGTGCGAATGGGGGAACCAGGAACTCTAGGATTTCGAGGACCAGCGGCTGAAGTTCATCAAGATGATGATCAAGGAGATCAGGGCCCCGGCGGACTCTCTCCTCGAGACCGTGCCGGACGGGGAAGAGGGCATGGATATGCAGAGCGAGGTTGGAGAGGCCCGAGCATATGCCGGCCCGCAGCGGCCAGGCCGTTAGCCACGTGAGCCGAGTAGGGATGTAACGTTTGAGGATTTCTGAGGCCGCCAGGGTCACCTGCCTCAATGACGCACGATTTGTGTTTTTGATCAGTGCTAATCGTAGTGGCTGTGTAGACACATGCGGCCCTAGCGGGCCCCCTCTGGATGAGCAGTGGAGGCCCATCTGGGCCTAGATGTGAACCGTGCGTGTTGAGTCTGTGCTGCAGCATTTTGGCTTGCCTCGGGTGAGGAAAGGTGGGGCGGGGGCCCCACGCACGAAGCCATCTGCAATGCGGAACACGCGTGCATAACAAGCATGCCGGACATGATCAGCGACCGTGCACAACCAATACTGCACAATTGCATACGGTAGAGCCACACGCGACAGATCTTAAAGCCAGGCGGCAGTTTTTTCAGATCAGCGCAGCCCGATCCCATCCCGCCGAGGGGACGAAGAGCCATCACCCCCGGCAAACAACCTGTACCATGAAGGAAAGATGTCCCGAGGGAAGAGGTCAAAGGTTTTCACCGTCTTTCTGCTTTGTGGGGCCTCTCCTCGTCGCCACGGTTGAGGTTTCCTCGAACTCTTGGGTCAGAACGCACCCCTCGTCTCCCCCGCGCCGGTGTCTTGCGTCCTGGTTGGCAGGGGTCCCGAATTTTTCTCGCCGCGTTCGGCCTACCAGGGCCCTTCCTGGGCCCTGGGGCCGTCGACAACAACGACTGAGGATGACGAGCCGGCCTCGGGGTGAGCCCCGCGGTCCAGGACTCGTTCGCCCGGGGAGCCTGTTCTTTGGCGGGCGAAGCCCACGCGCCGACGCGTCGCAAAAAAAACGCGTCAATTCCCAATCATCCTGTGGTGTTGGGTCCTTTTTTTGCACAGGGATGCCCCGCGTCATTCCTCCCTCCTCCCGCTCCTCCCTCCTCCCATCCGTGCCTCGACCCTCCACGTGTCCATGTCGGCACACCCCTCACACGCTTCGTGGCCCCATAGGGAGCTCCAACAGGCCCCAACGGCCCAGTCCACATGCGTCCCCCCGCTCACTCCGTCATACCCCTCACACGTTTCGTGGCCCCATCGGAAGCTCCACTCAAGGCCCCAGTGGCGCAGTCCCTCTGCATCCCCCCGCCCAGTTCGGCACACCCATTTCACGCTTCGCGGGCGCGTAGGGAACTCCACCCACGGCCCTGGTGGCACAACTGACATGCGTTTCTCCGCCCATTTCGGCACACCCCTCACACGTTTCGTGGCTCCATGGGGGGCTCCCCGCACCTGTGTTCCATTTGACTTGCGGCATTCACACTTGCATATGGATGGGTCCCTCGCCAGGATTGTTATGTTGGGGTTTGTTCGGCGTCTGGGGTCTAGTTACTAAGCCCCGCGGCCATCGGGGAGACGGACTCGAGACGAGAAGCCAGTGTCCCGAGAGCAGGGTCGGGAGCTCCAGGGCCCAGGCCGTGATATATATATATATATATATAGAGAGAGAGAGAGAGAGAAAGCACTCTCGGAAGGACTCCTAGACTGCAGTCGAGACTCAAGACGCTGACATGAGAAAACCTCCCTGGGCTCAGGAGGGGCTCTGGTTTTCGGTCCGTTTCTCAGAGCCAGGTCGTGGGGCCTATTCGTCGCCGCCCTTTCGTTCGCGGTTCAGCCTTCCTGTTTTTGGCTGCGCGGTGACTGCGCTGGCGCGGGTCGTGAGGCGTGGCGTGAGTCGTGAGGCACGGAAGGGAGCACGTCGTGAGTCGACATACACTTCGCGCGCCCAACACATGGATATGGCCGCTACATCGCGTGCGCCACGTACTCGATGCTTCGTAAAGCCTGCGTGCGTTGCTGCGCGTAGATATAGGTGCGAGAGTCGGCAAGTCCATGCAGGCCCACCAAGTTGACCGCGGAATCGCGAGGGCTTGTAGACAGGCTACCGACTTGCCCATCGGGGAATGGCGCGTTGGCAAAAGAGGACGGCCGGCGTGCCGGGTAGCGCGATTCAAATTAAGTTGAAATGCCGGGTTCGGCGTATCCGGGGGCGTGCCGATGTCGTCCAGATCCGAGGCTTTGGAGGGGCCCCGAGCCCTCGTGCTCACCGTCCTCCCCCCCGCGAGCAGCGCCGAGGTCGAGAAAAATGTGCAGTGGAGACCCATGCCAAGAAGCGCCTTGCTTGCTTCCAGGGTCCCCTAAGTTTCTAGGGTTCCGATGGCTCTGCCATGGACAGCGCGACTTCCCACCTCGACAACCAACGGACGTCCTGGGGTCTCAGGGTTGGGTTTCTTGTGGAGGGTTTCTTGTGGCTCCTCCTCCTCCTCGTCCTCCTCCTCCTCTTTCTCCTCTCCTCCACCTCCTCCTCCTCCCCCTCCTCCTCCTCCTCCTCCTCCTCCTCCGATGCTACTTGCGCTCCTCCTCCTCCTCCTCCTCCTCCTCCTCCTCCTCCTCCTCCTCCTCCTCCTCCTCCTCCTCCTCCTCCTCCTCCTCCTCCCCCCCCCTCCTCCTCCTCCTCCTCCTCCTCCTCCTCCTCCTCCTCCTCCTTTTCCTCCTCCTCCTCTTGTGGACTGGCCTCCACTATGCGCCCGTGCGCATGCTGCTTCCTCCTCTCGGGCCGGGCGCCGGTACCGCAGGGCCGACGCGCGTCCTCCTCTTCGCCTCGCTCCTCCTGCTCCCGCCTTTTCCTCCTCCCCCACCCTTCCTGCTATCGTTCCTCCTCCTCCTCCCTCCCTCCTCCTCGTCCCCTCTCCTCCTCTCTCCTCCTCTCTCCTCCTCTCTCCTCCTCTCTCCTCCTCTCTCCTCATCTCTCCTCCTCCTCGTCCTCCTCTCTCCCCTCCTCTCTCCCCTCCTCTCTCCTCCTCCTCGTCCTCTCCTCCTCCTCTCTCTCTCTCTCCCACTCTCTCTGCAGTCAGTTGCGCGCGGGGAGCCCCCTGCCCTCACTCCCCCCCTCGCAAAAAGAGCCAGGGCGGACCCTTGGCGCGCCTGGGCGGGCTGCCCGAGGCCCCAGGGCCCAGCACCTCCCGGGCCTCCCCGTGGCGACTCGAAGCTGCGGCCTCTCACGAACCCTACCCCTGCGGGTTCCCTTGGCGCTGGGGTCGGCAATGCGTCGGGCTAGGCACGGCGTCCCCTCGAGGAAGAGGAGGCGGAGGATGATGAGGAGGAGGAGGAGGAGGAGGAGGAGGAGGAAGAGGAGGAGGAGGAGGAGGAGGAAGAGGAGGTCCATTGCCATTTTGGCTCAATATTCGTTTTGTTCCGTCTGCATTGCTATCCGTGGTCATACGGCTCAGACAACAGCTCAGGGAAGTTGTCAAAACAAGTTCTCCGGTTGGTGATCTGGTTGGTCCTGCTCCCAACCCTTAATCCACCACATACTTGTATGTACTTCATCTTTTCACTGTGCATATCTTGCTTTCTACTCTTGCTTCCCACATCTCTCGCCATGAATGGTAATATGAATCCATTTGCTCCTCGTCCACTGGCGCCTTTTGGCAACCAGCAATTTGGAGGACAGCAGTTTGGAGGCCAGCAATTTCCAGGTTTTGGTCGCGGGTACTCCATGGGTTATCCCCCCATGCAGTCTGCCACGATGCCGCCTTCGATCCGCCCGGCTCCGATGAGGGTCTATGAGAGCCAGGTCATTGATTTGCGTCAGGACCTTGAAGGTGAAAATGGTCGCTTCCTTCTTCTCCATATGGATGACACATCTCGTTTCGAAGTGGTTTCGATTGCAACGAGTTATCCAGGGCTAAAGGAAACAATGAAAAAGGAGAAGGCACGTCCCATTTTCGTCAAGGCGAATGAGGACTGGTCGAAATCATTGCAGCGCGCAGAAGATATTGCCCAGCTCATTCCCATGAGTGCTTCAGACGACCAGTGGGGGAAATTCCTGATTGGTGTTCGCGCCGTTCATGAACAGCGCAACTTGCCGATTGCAGAGTCAGTCGGTGATTTCCTGTACCGGAAGCGTGCAGAGGATGAAGCTCGTCGTGCTCGGCTTCGTCAGCATCCCGGCACTTCGTCCGTTCCCCGCCCTCATGGTAGCGGTCTTGCCTGGCGCCTTCTCGACGGAGGCGTGGACGCCGAGATGGTAGACGCTGGAGAGCAGCAGGACGACAGGATTCTGCCCAAAGATTACCTTGGAATGAGGTATGCCCGCACACGCGAGTCAGAGACATTGGGTAGAGTGTTTGCCATAGAGTGCGTTGGAGGCGAGCCGCAATTCAAGATTCATTGGGATGATGATTTGCAGACGCCCCATGATCTGAGGGAGATTTCGTCCATGTCCTTCCCCGAGGCACCTGAGAGGTTCAACGTGGCCATGCCGTCTCCCAACCCTCGCCCTCGCCGCCGTGCAAGGGACAACGAGTGCGACCGGGTCGCCGCCGCAAGTGCGTCTGCTGAGTGGGACCGGATCCTGCCTGAAAGACCGTCAGGGGCATTGTCGTAGATGATCGAACGCACAGCATGGATTTTCCTTTTTCAACTCGTTTTCCCTTCCTCGATTCCCGCTCCCTCCACCCGCTCTTCCTCTCCCAAATTTTGTTGCGCGCGCGAGGGCACAGCGCACGCTGATTCCATCGGAAGGGTGGCTTTTCGATATGGCTGCTGCTCGCTGGCAGGTCAACGCATCTCGCCGCGAATCCATAAAACCGCATTTCGAGCGCCTTGGCCTCAACATGGAAGGGCGCGCCTGTCTCTCTCGTCCTCCCAACTCTTTTTGTCCTCCTACCTCCTGCTGCTGCTGCTGCGAGTGCATGCGCGTGCGTTCTTGGATTGAAGCCACGGACAAAACGAAAAAAACATGTTTTTATTCATATGTTTGGGTTTCGCCCACAGCCCAAACTACGAAAAGGGAGCCATCATCCGCTGCATTCAGTCGTTCGGTGTGTTGTTGTGTAAAGTCATGCACGAGCGCTCATGTCACATTAGGTGTAAGGCGTACCAGTTGTTGTACCAATCTTCACGGAAATTGCGCATGCTATCTGTGAGATGAGATATTGCTCCACTGGACAGACGGAGCGACGGAGAAAGCTTGGCTGTCCTCTGCCATTGCCACCATCAATCACATCCGCCTTGTCCTCTCCATGAAATGGTTGAGCGCGTCTCCCTTTAAGGAACAAATTAAGTTGTTCACTTTTTGACTCGCTCGCAGAAAACAGTTTCGAGTGATCGGTCGGTTGATCATCCGTCGGATTGCGTTGTGTATATGTGGTTTTCTATGACTCATCGTTTTGGCTATGTCGGGAAAACCATCAGGGGAATGAGCGTTCGCAGCGCAGAGCACTACCGGAACATATTTTCCGGAGCTGCTTCCTGCCAGTTGCCTGCGTACTCCAAGATGCGATCCCTCGGTACCGGCTCGTTTGTCCAAGTGCCTCTGCTTTACAGGTCTTCTTCGTGTGATTTCGAAATGTTGCATTTGGAAAAGCAGTGCGTAGCTCACGTTCGTCCTTTGTTGAACATGCCATTTGTGAAGGCGTGGGAGATGTGTTCCGCACACACCTCATGTTCACATGCGTGTTGTTTGTGCTGATGACATTGTGTCCACCAGTGAAGATAGCACGAAGAAGTTGTTACGACACTCGCTGTCTGCCCTTGTTCTCCGCATGGGTGACATGAGAGCGACAGGTAACGCTGTGCTTAAGCCTCTGAGGTGGTTGAAGGATCACAAGCCGCATCTCCTTCAGTTTGTTTTTAGGAGAGCGCCCCGGCAGTCCCATGGAAAACAGTTGCAGCACGTTAGCCGTATCATGTTTCAGTTGTTGTCGACGAGCGCCATCCATGTGTTGCACTGTTTGCACTTTACCATTCCGTACATGCCATGTTTGCGTTTGCGTGAGTGTGTCATCGGCATCATCCGTGCTCAGGTGAGTCCTCAATTACCCTGGGGGTCCTCTTGCGCTCTTGTTGTGAAGGGCCGCAGAGCTCCATCTCCGAAGGATTTGCTGTGCAATTCCAAGACCTGGGGCAGGCGTCTCGCGAGTGACACATCCCCTTGCACGTGCGATCAACTCGCTGCTGTCTTAAGGGCTCCCCACGACAAGGGCGAACATGTTTGTTTCCGTTGTGAGGAAACAGCAATGACAGCCAGCGTGCCTGCTGACGTGCATTGCGAACCCCAGTGCATTTGGACCCTTTCTTCGCTGCACCGTTGCATTAATCGAGAGTTGGTTGACGTGTCTAGGAAGGTCCCTTCAGCGTAATATTCATGTTTCGTTTGATCCTTCTCGCGTTGATTCGCTTGTCCATGCTCGTTACATGCCCGTCGGGTCTTTTCGTGGTTGGGGCATCATGCAGTCCGACATGTTTGCTTGGAAGCGCACGATTGACAGTATAGCTGTCGTCGCTCCTGTGGATAAGTGCAAGTCATCCATGGCTGTTTCGTGTCCGAGAGGATGGCAGGAGCGCGCGCGTGCTGTAGCGCATGCGAGCAACAAGGTGGGTTCGCTTACGTTCCGTTGGTCTTCCGTGAACGATAAACTTGAGGGGCAGCAGGCATATTTTCGTTATACTGGCATTAATTTCCCTCCGGTCTCTAAGCACGCTTACAGGTCCATCGATGTATGGCCTAAGAATTCCGACTTAATTCGGAAGGTGCGACCTGTGGGTTCTCATTGGCATCATTGTCTGAAACCTTTGTTTTCTCTTGCTTGCCGGCTTGTGAACTACAGGTTGTCGTGCATATGTCCAGATATCATATCTGTCATTTCCGTTCGTCGTGTTGTTGAAATCTCCCACGGCTTCAATGTTGACGCCGCTGATCAGTGCAGCCGTGGCTTTGTCCCTGTTTTTGTGCCTTTCAAACGGGACATCGACGCTTTCTTGAATAGCGTGCCCCACCATTTGATTTCTCGCACGATCGATTGGCTCATTAGGAAATGGCTGGATAAGATGTCTGGCAGACGGCCATTCGTCAAGGTGCCACGAGCTAATCGTTCTGCTAGTCATTTCAGAGAATCGCCATTGCAGTTTTCTCTGAGTTTCCGGGGCCATATGAGGAATCTTGCCGCCGCGCAGAAAGAAACTCCGAGGCCTCATCACTCTCGTTCCGTCCCCGTCGGGTCTTTCATTTTTAAGATCACGGATTTGCGTCGTGTCATGAATATTGACCTCGAAGGTGGTTTTCTTTTTCCCAACCCTCCTGCGCTGGGACCTCGTTTTGAATAGAGCACTGTGGTCTCCACCTTCCTCCTCCCGCCTCCTCTCTCCCCTCCTCGTCTCGCTTGCCTTTTACCTGCCTAGCTTGCCGCTCGCCATCCCTGGGGGGCGGCGATCTGTGAAACTGTCGCCAGTTTCGAGGGTTGCTGGGGTGGCCAGCGGAGTGGCGCCCCACGGGGGCTCAGATTAGACTTCGCCGTCTCTGGGGGGCTGCGATCTGTGAAACTATCGCCACTTTCGAGGGTTGCTGGGGTGGCCAGCGGAGTGACGCCCCACGGGGACTCAGATTAGACCTCGCCATCCCTGGGGGGCTGCGATCTGTGAAACTGTCGCCACTTTCGAGGGATGCCGGGGTGGCCAGCGGAGCGACGCCCTACGGGGACTCAGATTAGACCCCGCCATCCCTGGGGGGGCTGCGATCTGCGAAATTGCCGCTAGTTTCGAGGGCGGCAGGGGTGGCCAGCGGAGTGACGCCCCACGGGGACTCAGATTAGACCTCGCCATCCCTGGGGGGCTGCGATATGCGAAACTGTTGCCGCTTTCGAGGGCTGCTGGGGGGCCCAGCGGAGTGGCGCCCTACGGGGACTCAGATTAGACCTCGCCATCCCTGGGGGGCTGCGATCTGTGAAACTGTCGCCACTTTCGAGGGCTGCTGGCGTGGCCAGCGGAGTGACGCCCTACGGGGACTCAGATTAGACCTCGCCATCCCTGGGGGGCTGCGATCTGTGAAACTGTCGCCACTTTCGAGGGCTGCTGGGGTGGCCAGCGGAGTGACGCCCCACGGGGACTTAGATTAGACCTCGCCGTCTCTGGGGGGCTGCGATCTGCGAAACCGTCGCCACTTTCGAGGGCTGCTGGGGTGGCCAGCGGAGTGACGCCCCACGGGGACTCATATTGGACCTCGCCATCCCTGGGGGGCTGCGATCTGTGAAACTATCGCCACTTTCGAGGCCTGCTAGGGGGCCCAGCGGAGTGACGCCCTACGGGGATTCAGATTAGACCTCGCCATCCCTGGGGGGCTGCGATCTGTGAAACTGTCGCCACTTTCGAGGCTGCTCGGGGGCCCAGCGGAGCGACGCCCTACGGGGATTCAGATTAGACCTCGCCATCCCTGGGGGGGCTGCGATCTGTGAAACTGTCGCCACTTTCGAGGGCTGCTCGGGGGCCCAGCGGAGCGACGCCCTACGGGGACTCAGATTAGACCTCGCCATCTCTGGGGGGCTGCGATCTGTGAAACTGTCGCCACCTTCGAGGGCTGCCCAGCGGAGTGACGCCCTACGGGGATTCAGATTAGACCTCGCCATTCCTGGGGGGCTGCGATCTGTGAAACTGTCGCCGCTTTGGAGGGCTGCTGGGGGGCCCAGCGGAGTGACGCCCTACGGGGATTCAGATTAGACCTCGCCATCCCTGGGGGGGCTGCGATCTGCGAAACTGTCGCCACTTTCGAAGGCTGCTTGGGGGGCCAGCGGTGTGACGTCCTACGGGGGCTCAGAATAGACCCCGCCATCCCTGGAGGGCTGCGATCTGTGAAACTGTCGCCACTTTCGAGGGCTGCTGTGGGGCCCACGAAACTGTCGCCACTTTCGAAACCTGCTGCGGGGTCCAGCATAGTGACGTCCTACGCGGACGCAGATTGGACCCGTCATTCTACTTCGATTATCCCGCATCTGCGATCGACTGTATGTGTGCGAGGAACTAGACATGGAGTGGTCTGGCACTGACTGACGTCAAATCGTTGTGTGCCAGTGTCTCCTGGGGTGTTGCCTGATGTGGATGCAGCTCGTCGGCGCTGCGACTCGAGCTGGCGGTCGTCCTTCGGACCCGCAGAAACATCTGCTGAGCTCGATGAGCTAGGGGAACTACAGGAAAGAAGTGCAGGAAACGGAGGCCGGTCATGCACTCGCCGATACCTCGTTGCTCTGTCATCGTCTTTGCTGTTGCATGATCCTTATCTGGCCTGCCGGCGCCGCGGCTCGAGCTGGCGGTCGCCCTTCGGGCCCGCGGGAACATCTTCTGAGACAAGTGGACGCCGCCGCCTTACTTGCAGGCAGCGCATTGCATTCGCGGACAGCAGCATGGCAGACCGCAGTGAGATCCTCAGTCGCGTGGTGTTGCCAAGCCTGGTGGAGACGCGCGTGATCGACCTGAAGTCCCAATCGCGCGTGCACTGTACCTGCGTGGCGTTCAGGCACGCGCGTGATGCTGCTCGCTCCGCGTTCAACCAGTACGTCGCCAGTGCAACTTTGGACGATGGACAACCGATTGATGATGCGCGACCCCGGCCTTGAGTTTCTTTCCCGCGGGCCGCCCGCAGACCTGGCGGCGCGCCTGCGAGCGTTCAGCTCCCGCGCTGAAATGTGCGGGAAGGAGGCGGAGAAGCTAGCGGGCGAGCTACGCCTCGCTCGTTCCTTGCACTCTAAACAAGTTTTATCATGTGGAACTCTGCGACGACATGGCGCAGGCAGCGCTGCGGGTTTAGCTCGCGCTTGAAAAACGCGGCAGTCTTCTGTCTCCTCCCGCAACTTTCATCGTCGTCCTATTCCCCGCCTCACCTTCTCCATGCATGCTGCTGCTTCCGCGATGGCCTTTCGCCCCCCCCCCGCCCTCCATTCCATCCCTCT